GTGCTGAAGTCGTGCCTGCTCAGGAGTTTGGGCTCTCAATGAAGACCTCAGTAATTAGTTTCAGCTCACATATAATCAGGATCAAAACAGAGATAATTGTTAGGTGTGTTGTGCGTCTTTGTCTTTAGGTACTGGACGTGCTGGAGTTGTGCGTTCAGGTGCTGAGTGAGAGGGAAAACGAACTGCTGCCTATGGCTCATCGCTGCTGGCCAGCACTCCTGCAGAGACTCACAACTGATGACCCATTAGCAGTCCTCAGAGCCTTCAGGGTAAGTAAAACAAACCTCTCTTTTCATTACGTGAGTCAAAATTATTCAAGTCGTCTTTAGTTTTTTTAAACTCTTAATAGTGAAAGAATGAAAGATGCTGCCCAACAACAGGCTTATTTCATTAAGAAATAGTTCTATTATTTTCTTTTTTGGGTTGTAATGTGAAGAGTCTTTAAACTAACATTTCTTCTATCAGCACAGAAAAATCACCGTGTGGATGCCTTCTTAGAGGCTGCTTGTCGGTGTAAATCGGGGTACTCGTCAGCTCCTGTCATCAGCTGGACTAATTTTGAATTTGTTATTCATATTTTCATTGATGAACTGACAAATTCAAACACGTTAAGTCTGTAAACAGTCATTTATTCACTCAGAGCTGCTGCTGGAAAATTGTTTCATAAGCTTTTGAATATATACGCGTTTTGTAAATACTACAATTCATCCAGGAGTACACAACGGGAAGGTTTTATTGAATTTTGACAGCTTGCTGCTTTTGTACATTACGTTTTTGTACATTTCATGCCAGGTGCTGTGCGTGCTGGGTGAAACATGTGGGGACTTTCTGAGGAGGAGGGTTTCTAAAGAGGTTCTGCCCAAGCTGAGCGCCTCTCTGGCACAGCAGGCTCCGATCAGCGCCAAGGCTGGGCCTGTCTACACACACACCCTGGCCTACAAACTGCAGCTGGCTGTATTGCAGGGGCTGGGCTCACTGTGCCAGAGACTGGATCTGGGTAAGAGAATAGAGACACAGTGCTCACAAACAGCACAACAACATATTTGCAGGGAGTGATCCACCCAAAGACCAGACACTGAGCTCAAACTATATTCTGCTGCTGTGATTAATCCGTGAAATTAACTTGGCTTTGTTCCATTTTATTCTTTTTTATTTTCTTTTACAAGTTGATTTGTGTTGTAATTTCTGGATAAAACATAAAAGTATTACAATTGTTATATGAATAAAATATAGTAAAAATGTCCTGTGTTTGGTTTTCTCAGCTGAAGCAGACCTAGATGTGGTTTGTGAAGCCTGTCTACCCTACCTGAGCTCCAGACAACCCATCAGACTGCAAGAAGCCTGTTTAAGGTAAGTCTTTATTAAGGACTGCTGTAGTCTTGGAAAGTAACTAAATCCTTCATTTAGTTACTAATGTGTTTGAGTGTTACACACAGACAGAATGCCATAAATGAAAACTGTACCATCCAGTTGACATTGTATTGCCATGTTGGTCATTAACAGCCACGTGACATGATTTATCAGTAAAATCTGAATTTAAATTGAATGCTCAACATCATATTTGGAGAGGTGCTGGGTGTTACACAACAAAATATGACTTCAGGAGTCATTCATTGTCTCTGAACACTGAATATGAAACAAAGCACTGTGGCTATAGCTTTTGTTCCCTGAAGAAGAGGAACATGGGACCTGAGAATGGAAT